TCGGTATGTCCCCCCCCCCCCCTACCCCCCCCGGGGGAACTGCGATCCCCCGCGACCCCCCCCCCCCCGAAATGACCTCTGCCATAAGCATTCCCATTCTCATCCAAATTTCTTAATGGAATAAAATGCCCGTGCGGTGTTCATTCATTTCAAAGTACCCCAGACGAATGTTCCAAATAATTCAGTTTCAGAAGTGCAGACGTGGAGATTGTTGAAGGGACACCTCCGTCTCACCTCTGATGGAGCCGGCCGGGCTGTTACAAATCTGTTTCCCAAAAAAACATTTTCAAAGAGGGGACAGGACATTGTCTATACACGCAGTGCTATCACTCCAATATGAATTTTCAATGTTCTCACGAGCACAATTTTCGGGAAAACACTATTGTAAGAATCAGGGCTTCTTCCTCCTCTTCTTCTTCTGGAAAAAGAGGTGCCAGAAATCTCAAGAGGGAAATGAAGTTTTCAATCTGCATGCTGAAATCTCACAATTTTGTAAACATTTTTAAAAGAATTTAAAAGCCCTGGTGAGAATTGTGCTTCTGAGAATATTGAAAATTCATTCACTAACTAAAGGAGTCGCACAGCGGCTTACAATCTTTCCCTTCCCCTCCCCACAACAGACACCCTGTGAGGCAGGTGAGGCTGACAGAGCTCTTTCAAGAACTGCTCACGAGATAACAGCTCTGAAAGAATTTGTGACTGACCCAAGGTCACCCAGCAGCTGCATGTGGAGGTGTGGGGAATCAAACCCGGTTTAGATTAGAGTCTGCGCTCCTAACCACAACACTAAAAAACAGGTTGCTTACCTGTAACTGATGATCTTCGAGTGGTCATCTGTGCATTCACACCCATGGGATCTAGTGCGCACGCGCTGGATCGATCGGCACGAAAATCCGTTAAAGAGCTTGCTACAATGCCGATCGATCCAGCGCGTGCGCACTAGATCGCATGGGTGTGAAGCACAGAGACCACGTCGAAGATCTTAGAGTAATGCATCTGTGTTATCTTTGAAAAACAGCCTGAAATAGGTTCCCTTACTACACTGCCCGGGCTACTTCCCTAAAACATCAGAGCAAAGACTGAGATTTTAAATTGCTGTTTTTATGTGAGTGTGTATTTTTATAATCGTTTTGTTTACACTGTAAGCCACCATGAGTTTTGCAAGACAGAAAGGCAGCAAATAATTTTCTTAACAAATAGATACTTTCAGCATCAGAGAGTGACTGTGTATGTAGCTAATGTTCCGTTATCAAGCTTAACAAAATATTCTGCCCTCCAGGGAAGTGGTAAGAAATCTGTGAACTGAAAGTATTTCTCATCTCTCCTCACTAGAAGAAAGAGAGAATATAGCAGAGGAGGCTTTAAAGCTCTATACGGCCAGGGGCCCGCATATCTGCAAGACCGCCTCTCCCTCTATGAGCCCCGAAGGGCTTTACAATCTGCCAATCAGCATCTTCTCGTGGTTCCCAGCCCCAGGGATGTCCGCATCCAACTCGCCTCGACCTTTTCAGCTCTGGCCCCTACGTGGTGGAATGAGCTCCCATATGAGATCAGGGCCCTGCTAGACCTTTTACAGTTCCGCAGGGCCTGCAAGACGGAGCTCTTCCGCCAGGCTTTTAACTAGGGCGACAGACGCCCCTCCCTCTTTACTGGGCCTCCCCTCGACGGGTCAGAACTGCATACCAGAGTTGGCATCTGTGAGGTTTTAATGTCAATGACAACGGCACCGGATGAAGGCCATTGTGGTATTTTACTAGTGTTTTAACTGTATTAACTGTGTATATTGTATTTTTATAAAATTTGATGTAACCCACCCTGAGCTTGCCAGGTGGGGAGGGCGGGATATAAGTCGAATAAATAAATAAATAAATAAATAAATAAATAAAATATGCTAATGAGGTACCTGGCTCTGAATGTGACGATATGATACAGGCCCATTCTGCACCTAGCATTCGCTCCGTTGTTTTACCAAACCCACATTGGAACAGGAAAAAGATGTGGCTCAAAACCGCATTCAAATACCCCGGGGCCAACGCCTACTGACTGAAGAGTCACCCCTGAACGGCCATAAAACAGCCATACATCTATGCAGATGGTACCATAAAACCGAGAGATCAAAGGAAGTGAAACCAACATGCAGTGTGGAGGCTACCATAAAATCCGACAATCAAAGAAAGTGAAAGCGGCATGCAATGTAGAGGGGAATTTCTGTTCCAACGTGGGTTTGGTAAAACAGCAAAGTGAATGCCGGATGCAGGAACGGCCACAGACTGACGTCCACCAACACTCTTAGGTACGGATCCTTCTCTGAATTCCCCACCGTTATTTTGCTCCGACAGATAAAAACCACATGACCGGCTTTGGTCGTGATGTTCAGATAGTTGCAGACCACTTAAAACAGAAAAAACCAACTTCAGCA